CATTGTGATATAAATTTAAGTTTCCATCTGTGCCTTTTTATGGCTTGATAGCTCATTGTTTTATAACTGAATAACATTCTATCATCCGGAAGTGCCATGGCTTGTTCATTCACCCACTCAGGGACATCTTTGTGGCTTCCAAATGTGGGCAATTATGCATAAAGCTGCTGTCAACACACGTGTGCTGGTTTCTGTGTGGACATATGTTTTTAACGTATTTGAGTCAACACCAAGGAGAGGGATGGCTTGATTGTATGGTAAAAGTTTTGCAAAATACAATTTTCAGAAAAAGTTTTTAAAGAAGTTGTCAAATTGTCTCCAAAGCGGCAGCACCATCTTGCATCCTCACTACAGACAGCTGAGAGTTCCTGTTGCTCCACATCCTCATCAGCATTTGGTGTTGTCAATGTTTTGGATTTGGGCCATGCTAATAGGGGTGCAGAGGGATCTCATTGCCATTCCAATTTGCATTTTCCTTGATGACACATGATGTGGAGTACCTTTTTGTATGCCTATATGCCATTTGTATATTTTCTTTGGTACTAGATGTCTGTTCTGATATTTTGTCCATTTTTTAATTGAGTTACTTTATTTCCTCATTGATGAGTTTTAAGGGTTCTCAGTTATTTATCAATCTTTTTTTAGATTTGGGAATATTTTCTCCCAGTCGCTGACTTAATCTGACCAATCCTATCAGTTGATTGCCATTCTCCTTTTGTTCTCTTACTAGTGTCTTTTGCAGAATAAGTTTTTAAATTTTAATAAAGTCTAACATCATTTTTTTCATGGATTATATTTTTAGTCTTATATCTGAAAAGTCATTCCCAACTCCAAGGTTACCTAGATTTTCTCTGATGTTATCTGCTAGGAGTTTTATAGTTTTGTGTTTTACATATAGCTCTGTGATCGACTTTGAGTTAATTTTTGTGAAATCACCTAAAGTCTGTGTCTAGAATTCATCTTTGCAGGTGGATATCTTTGTGTTCCAGCACCGTCAGCTGAAGACATCCTCTGCCCTCCTCTGAATTGCCTTGATCCTTTGTCAAAGTTCAATGGACTATATTTATGTGGGTCTATTTCTGGGCTCTCTGTTCTGCTCCACTGATCTCTGCACCCCTCTCTTGCTAATGCTACCTGCATATTCCCGTCGATTCATAGTGAGCCGCCACGCTGGGGAGCGTCTGTCCTCTGACTTTGCCCTTTCCCTTCAGTATTGTGCTTGTTTGGCTGGTTCTTTTAAATTTATAGGTAAACGTTAGAATCAGAATGTATATCAATAAAATAACTTGCTGAAATTTTAATTGAGATTGCCCCAAATCTATCCATCCATCTGGGAAAAACTGACATCTTGAGAGTACCGATTGCTGCCTATTAAAAAAATTATGAGGAAGCAAATGTGAGGTTTATAACTGAAATTCTATATTTTAGAATTTCAAATTCCCTCCATGAATCCTCTACAACTATTTTAAGCTTGATTACTTCAGGTTTAACTTGGCTTCTGAAATATATCAAATTAACGTTTGGAGTTAATTCTGAAATCACGTGGATTGTACATCAGTGACTGTGGTTCTTAGGCACCCATCAGTTTTTCTGCAGAGAATGTTTGAAATATGTAGAAGAGGAGCTTTTAATGGGAAAATCTATCAAGTGAAACTGATTGTCTAAGAAACACCTTTCATTCTTGGAAAAATATTGCATTGTGTTATATTGAATGAGATTCTGTATTTTCTGCACAGAAGTAAGGTACAGATACTTAACTGTCACAGACAGCACCCCAATGCTAGAGCATCTTTTATTAAAAAAAATCTGCTTTCAAAATAAAGGGCTCCTGATAACAATAATACATTTAAAAAATCTATTTTCTAAGAGACCTACAAGAAGATTATAGCAACAGTTATCTTTTAATGGAAGTAATTTGTGTGTCATCAGAATTGAAAGCTCTAATGCTCTGGATGATTGTGTTAGGTTATGCCATGCTTACTGAGGTCAGCAGCTTGGGGCATGGCAGTCATGAGGCTAAGGTCACGACTTAGGACTCATGAGGCCAGGGTAGATACTCAGTGCCGCCAACATCGTCTCTCTCAAGGCATGACCAGCTGTCTTGCAAGGTTGATGGTCAGAGGAAAACTGTGAGCATGCCTGGAGTAGTCCTGGCAAACACCACTGGGTCTTGAGATGGGGCTGGCAGGTCAGAGCACAAGTCGTTGTGAATTGAAACAGAAACAGAAGCAGCACCTTATGTAGACGGAATAAAGCACGAATTCTCCAAAGTAAAACTCACATGAACTGGGAGTCATCATTTTTTCTTATCTTAGTATTATTGAATCCTGTTCTTATTTTTAAAGTATGTCTTTTAGCATATTTTTTTAATCAAATTTTAATTTTTAATTGGCAGATACTAACTGTTATATATCGATGGGATAAGGTGATGTTTTTGGTATGTTTACTTTGTAGAATAATTAAATCACGTTATTTAGCAAATTCATCACAGCAAACAGTTATCTTTTTCTTTGTGGTGAAAACATTTAACATCTATTGTTTTAGTAATTTTGAAATATATGATGCATTATTATTAATCATAGTCACCATTTTGTGCAATTAATCACTAAACCTATTCCTCCCAAATAACTGAAACTTTGCACTCTTGGATGAATGTTTCCACCAGCCCTGGCCCTGGTAACAGGAATTCTAGAATTCTACTCTCTGCTTCCCTGAGTTCCTTTTTTTTTTTGGAGACGGAGTTTCACTCTTGTTACCCAGGCTGCAGTGCAATGGCACGATCTTGGCTCACCGCAACCTCCGCCTCCTGGGTTCAGGCAATTCTCCGGCCTCAGCCTCCTGAGTAGCTGGGATTACAGACACGTGCCACCATGTCCAGCTAATTTTTTGTATTTAGTAGAGACGGGGTTTCACCATGTTGATCAGGATGGTCTCAATCTGTTGACCTCGTGATCCACCCGCCTTGGCTTCCCAAAGTGCTGGGATTACAGGCGTGAGCCACCATGCCCGGCCCCTGAGTTCCTCTTTTACAGGTTCTTACCGTAACTGAGATCAGGCAACATCTGTCTTTCTGTGCTTGGCTTAATTCTCTTCCTTTTCTTTGTTTTATTGTCATTGATTTAGTTAATCTGGTGTTTTCAGTCATATACTGAGATGCCAGTAAGCATTCATTCCCATTTAAACACTGAGTCATTTGCTACATAAAATCAAATGATTAATATGCCTAGAAAGACCAGGCAGAAACCATTCAGTAAAATGTATGGGAGAAGTTTTACTTTATATTTTCTGTCACATTTAATAGAATCATTCTGCATTTTTCCTTTTAATGTCACCAAACTGGTGTATTTTTGATGCTATGAACAAACAAACAAAAACACAAAAACCTTTGGGCACAGTGTGTGGCTCATGCCTGTGACCCCAGCACTTCGGGAGGCTGAGGTGGGAGGATCACTTGAGTCTGGGAGGTTGAGGCTGCAGTAAGCCGGGACGGCACTACCGCACTCCAGCCTGGCAGACACAGTGAGATCATGTCTCAAAAAAAAGCCACATTGCTACACTGTGTTTTTAAGACTTCAGCTGTCCAAGTTTTTAAAGTGTTGCATATGTAAAAAAGCCAGACAGTTTTGCAACCTTATCAGTAACAAAAATGAGTGTGATGATGGACTGGGAATCAGAGAAGAGTGTGGGGGACAAGAGGGGCCTCCTGCAGGGCTTGCTCCTCCCTTCTGCCAATAACCACGCATGCTCATAGCTCTTGGTGAAGTCCGGGGGAAGCTGGAAATGCACTAGAGTCAAACATCCCTTTTGTCCAAAAAGTCTGAGTTGAAGAGAATGTTGTTGTAGAAACAAAAGAAATACATACATATATGATGAACACTGGGAAAGCAAAGAGAAATAAAGCACACAGCATGTCTGAACGTGTCACTGGCTGTCCTGTATCCTGAGCACTCCCTAGTGAGCTGAGATGCCCAAAATATCCCTGAAAACTTCACATGTCCCCAGGCCATTATTATTTGTGAGCTCACAGGTGAAGTCTATTATTATTATTATAATTTTGACAGCCATTGAAAACAAAACCATCTTAACAGCAAATTAAGACTTTCACCTGATTCGTGATACCTCCTAAAAATATATCAAGATGTGAACGTCTCCAATGCCATCATTAAGCATGCTAACTCAGTTACCAGGCAACACGCTCCTTAATCTCTTCATTCAAACAGAGGCTAGAATGCCAAGGTTTAGTATCTTGGCATTGGAAGTTGACTTGGGGAAGATCAGCTGCATCACACAGGGATTCACTTAGGTCAACAATACGTTTTGATTTTCAACTGAAGGATGTGTTGCTTTAAGTTCTATGACATTTTAAAGCATTCCAGTATTTGGACAGATGCCATTTTAAAATAGATGAACTTGCGCCCTAAGTCATGATACTCTTTTCTTTTTTTATTCATTATCAAGACCGGGCCCAGCTCTGTTGTCCAGGCTGGCGTGTGGTGATGCAGCCATGGGACCACGCATGGGCATGCACCACCAGGCTCAGCTAATTTTCTACTTTTTTTTGTAGAGTCGGAGTTTTGCCATGTTGCCCAGGCTGGTTTCAAACTCCTGAGCTCAGGTGATGCCCCTGCCTTGGTGCCCCAAAGGGATGGAATTTCAGACAAGAGCCACCACACCCAGCTGATATTCTTCTATAGATGGCAAAGTTGAGATTTTCCTAGGGCTTAAGGTGGGAGAAACAAGATGCTCAAAATTTGTATTCTTGCTCTACCACCTTGATTATGTCAATTCCTCAATTTTTTTGCACCTGTGGTGTTGCAAGAAGAAATGGGAAGAAAGAACAGGGACATTCGGTTGGCTGTAGAGGGCTGACTTGTAATGTGTGAAGAGCTCATGATACTGTTTAGACTGTTGTGCATGACGATGTGACATGAAGCTGTGCTGGGAGGGCTGAGACGCCCCCGTTTTGCACAGGCAGGAAGCAGGGACGAAAGCTTTTCCGCAAAGCTAGCAGGTTCTGTGGAGAAGGAAGAGTGTCTTGGGGGAGGATAAGAAGAACCGAGTGGGTGAAACCGAGTTGGAGGGAGCAGAGAAGGGAACAGCAGGATGGAAGTGCCAGCTCTGCAGGCAGGCTCCTGAGGGCAGAGCCGAGGCCTGATGTGGGCACTGCCAGCCCCGCTAATGGGGAAACGGTAGCTGCCTCGGCAGAATCCCAGAGGCATTCCGGAACAGGGGCTATCACACCTTCCCTTCCTTCATCACCCCAGGGACAGCCTGTCACACCGATGCTGCCCCCAGAACACCAGTGTGTTCCATGTGTGTGAAGGATGCAAACTGACCTTTAATTCAAAGGTGTCTGGATGATTAGGGGTTGGATTTGAGGAGTCACGTCTGGACACAATGTGGATGAGGAGACGCTGGACTCTGGGCTGAAGTCTACAGGAGGATGAGGCCTCGGCTGTGGGTGAGTGACAGTCCTGGACATGTGGGAGGGGTGCAGCTCAGTGACTCTGGAGAGTGAATTGTTGATAGTTAATCAATGCACTGTGGTCCCACGGGAGTGACACCAACCTCAGAGCAAGCCACCCGAGGCAGGGCACCGGCCTTCCGCTTGCTTTGGCTGACAAGACAAACCCAGTGGGGTACAGCACTCACACCACAGGGCTTGCCCTTGCCTGCAGCCGGAGCGTGGCCACCTGGAGCCTGATTGATGACCAACTACCTGTGGGCTGGGCTGCCTTGTCCCCGCTGACTGCCGGCCAACGTGCACGTGTGTGAGAGAGGCCATGCAGACGAGTAAACGCCACTGCATTGCCACAAGCAAAATATGTCCCGTGTCAAGGACAGAACTGTAAAGAGACCTGGGTCACCTCACGATTCCCATGCATATGCTATTTTTTTTTTTTGCACCTTCTTGCTGAGAAATAAATGTGTCATGTTTTCAATTTGTAACGTGGTGAGAAATACTGTTTCTTTTCTTTGATTCCAGAATCTGTTTGGGTAAATATGCCTTTGAGGTAGGTGATGTGGAAGACTCAGAATTTGAAAACTGTGTCTCCCATTCCCCTGGGGCAGAATTCCCACAGGAGCCTTTGTTTGTTGCTTCGCTCCTAGGTTGGGCTCAGCATTTGTAATGAACAAGAACTTTAATTCTGTTCCAGTCCTTACTGATGATGCGGTATTTTTCTACCCGTATCTACACGAATATAAGATCATCATGGTTGAATAAAGTGTGCTGTTTATTGCTGGTGTAACTATAGCTATGACCGGATATTTACAACTAGGTTTGTTTGTTTGTTGCTTGTTTAAATAGATCTAACTCCCCAATTCTGCAAACCCTGACAGTGAGCATTGACAATGGGAATTTCACCCGTTTTTCAACAACCCCTTCCACGTGGACTCATCTTTCCTCAGCCTCTCCATTGTCTGTCCTCTGAATGCTATCATTCTGGGGTTATCACAATCATTTTTGAAACAGGGTAATGTGTTGCTGACATTACCAGCTGTAGCTATTCCTGAAATGTATAATTTTAGAGGCTCACAGGCTTGCAGTGGCTGACACTGGCCCCCCTTTGAGCTGTCAGAGCCGTGGCAGAGGGCTCCTTGGAGCAGATGCTCCTGTAAGTCTTCTCCACATGAACTGTGAAAGCTGCATTGCGAGGGAATGGTGTGCTGGTCGTATTCGTGTCTGTGTGTGCGTGTGTGTGTGTGTGTGTGTGCGCGTGTGTGTTACTGCTTAATACAGAAGCATCATGCATACTGGGAGAAAACAGCCTCTCTCATGAATGCATCCCTTTACTTTAAAAGACATACAGGTTTTCTACTTCTGCTTCCAGCTATGAAGAAATGACTGGTACAAGATGAGTTCCTCCCATAACAACCAGGAAAATTGAAAAAATAATAGGGAGTGATTGTTTTCAGACTTCGGACAAAGACAGCCCCATGCTACTGTCCAGTTGTTGGAGGATACTGTAGAAAAAGGAGGCTCATGAGGTGGCTTCCGCATTCAGGCTGGTTCTTGGTCTGGGGGCAGTTTTCTGCCTCAGGGCAAACTCCGCACCCCAGTGGAGTATGGTGCCTCCGCAGAGAGGAGGAGGAGGAGGTGGCAGAGCTCAGAGCCCGGCAGCTGAGGGGTTTCCATCTGTGAGCTTGGCCCAGAGAAGAAGGTGCTGCACAGAGCGGGGTGTGAGGTTCCTGGCGGAGCGTGTGCAGCAGCAATGGAAATCACATGAGCTGTTATTTTGAAGGCAAAGTTGTAGAGCCATTTTGGAACATAATTCAGCAGTTTCTTTCCAGCTTAAATATACTTTTACTATATGACTCAATTCGTAAATGAAAGCAAAAGAAATCAAAATGTACATTGACAAAAGACTTGTATTTGGATGCTCATAAAAAAAGCTTTATTTAAATAATCAACATTTGCAGAGAAATCGAAAGTCCGTCAAACCAACGGAGATGAATAAATTGTCGTTACAGCTACCTAACAGAATACCATTTATCCAAAAAAAGACACAGGCTACTAATCCGTACAGCAACGTGAGAGAGTCTCAACATCACGTTGCTGAGTGAAAGGACAAGACATAAAAGATTACATATTGTATAATTTATGTGTATGAAGTTTTAAACTTCATACAGTGTAACACTATAGTGGAGAAAAGCAGCTAAGTCATTGTGCAGGTCAGGTAGACGTGAGAGAGTAACTGCCAAGGAGTAGCAGGAGAATTTGGTGGTGACTGAAACATTTATGCTACAGGACTGTGTTGGTGATGACAAGGCTGGACATGGTACCCAAACTCAAGTTATAAACTTGAAGAATTTTATTAGAATATATCATATCTCAGTAAAAGTGATGCCAGACAAACAGAAGCTGAGAGAAAACCCTGCCAGCAGCCCTGCACTGCAAGAAAGGTTAAAATAAGTTACTCATGCAGAAGAAAACCTACACCAGATGGAAACTTGTATTAAAAGAAAGAAATGACTTTGGGAGGCCGAGGCGGGTGGATCATGAGGTCAAGAGATCGAGACCATCCTGGTCAGAATGGTGAAACCCTGTCTCTACTAAAAATACAAAAAATTAGCTGGGCATGATGGCACGTGCCTGTAATCCCAGCCACTCAAGAGGCTGAGGCAGGAGAATTGCCTGAACCCAGGAGGCGGAGGTTGCAGTGAGCCGAGATCGCGCCATTGCGCTCCAGCCTGGGTAACAAGAGAGAAACACCATCTCAAAAAAAAAAAAAAAAAAAAAAAAAAAGAAAGAAATGAAGAGCACTACAAGTTGTAAATACAAGCAGACATACCAAAGACGTATTTCTCACTTGTTAAACATTTTAACTGATCTTTAACTCTTTAATAAAAAAATTGTTGGGTTTATAACAAATCTAGGTTTAAAGTGCATGACAGCAAACCAAGAAGCAAATAGTAGTAGGGGAGTGGAATGATGGTGTTGACAAGGACCCACACTGGATGAAGGTCAGCTGAGACAATTTACAGTGAATGCTGCAAACTCAAGTGCCATCACTGAAAAATAAAAAGGTATAGCTGTTAAGCCATCCTTGGAGGTCAGATTTAATCTTAAAATCCTTCAACTAATTCCTGTGCAAATAGGGAAAAGTAAGCAATGGTCACATGAGACAAAAAAGAATCACAAAGCAAGATAATAGATTTAAACCCAGATATTTTTTAATTACATCAGATGTATAGTAATCTTACCAATTAATAGGTGGAGTGCTTGGTCAAGAAAACAAATTACCAAAGATTACTCAGAAAAGGAGTATGACTTGTTCTAGACCTACTAAATAAACAATATCATAAATTATAGTAATCACTAAAATCATTTTTATTCCAGTCCCAGTGGCTTTACTGGTGAATACTGACAAATAAAGGATACATAATACCATTTTACATATTCTTTTCCAGAACACAGAAGACTTAAGAAGTAGCCAATCCATTTAATGAGGCCAGTGTTACCCTGTTAACAAAAATTGCAAACACATGTAACACTAAAAGCAAACTGCATGCCAATATTTTCATGAACATAGATAGAATCATCCTTAGTAAAAATTTAGATCAGCAAATCCAGCTATATTAAAAATTATGCATATGAGACAGTTTATCTAAAGAATGTAATTTTTATTTAACATTTGAAAATTCCTCAGTCTACATATTAATAGACTTTTAAACAAGAGCTGCATGATTTTCCCAATAGATTCAAAAAGGGCATTTGAGAAAATCAAGATTTGTTCATGATAAAACCTGCCAACAAACAAGAAAGAGAAGCTTACTTTTTCAACATGGTAAGTGACTTCTGTGAGGTATCTACAGCTAAAATTTGGCAGAGTTAAGTTTCTTGTAAGTTATGGTACAGGGCATGGATGTCATTTCTCACTATTTTGCTTCAGTATGGGATCAAAGTTTCTAGCCCATGCAATATGGCAAGAATAAGGAATAATGATCAGAAATATTAAAATTTCTATTTGCATGTCACTTAGTTGGATATGCAAAAAAAATTTAAAAATGCAATCTACTGGAATTAATGTGAATTTAGCAAAGTTTCAGGATATAAATTTATTATACAAACACCAATTGTATTTTCTTATATTAGCAATGAATAATGAAAAATGCCATTTAGAAAAGCATTCATAGTAGCATAAAAACCCTAAATACCTTAGTAACAGCTAAAGCGTATTACACAAAAGACTGGAAAATAAAGCTAAAGGAAAACCTAAACAATCTTAAAGATTTGAGTGTTATACAATGCTCATAAATTGGAAGACCCAGCATTGCTAAGATGTTACTTTCTACCAATGAATCTGCAGGTTTAATGCAATCCAAACAAAAGTCCCAGGATGTTTTATTTTGTGGACATTGACAAGCAGAGTCTATAACTTTATATGGACATTCAAAGCACTCAGAATAGCCAAGAGAAGCTTGGGTAAAAATAAAAGAATGGGAGGGCTTACACTCTCTAATTTCATGACTGACTATTAATTTATAGTCAATAATTGAGTATATTGTTCATATACAGTTAGCAAATTAGACCAATATAGCAAATGGGGAGTCTGAAAATATACCCAAGTTTATTTGCCCATTTGATTCCCAACCAAGGCTCCACCATAATTTAGTAGCAAATGGAAGTTCTTACAATCAATTGTTGCTGAAATAAAGGAATTATGGATTTTGAAGAAAATTAACTTTGCTGCCATATAGATAAGTAATTTAAATTGGAATTAAGACATTTAACACTATAAATATTGCAGAAGGCAGCATTAAATAATATTTTCACAGCTTTTAGATTGGCACAATTTTTTGAACAAACAGCACAGAAGAAAAGCATAGAACATACAGCAAGAAAGATAAATTTAGCTTCATCACAAGTGAACATTGCTGCTTATCAAAAGAAACTGTAAGAAGTGGAAAGAGAAGCCATAAATATGATATATGTATATATGCATATATCTGTCAAAAGACTTTCATCTATTATATATATAAAAAAATCCCTCAAGAGCAAAACTCTATTTAAAAGAAAAAAACAAGAAATTCCTTTAACCATAAATTAAAAGATAACCAAATAAGTAAAAAATGAAGAAAAGACTTAATCAGTTACCTCCCAAAAGCTGACATATAAATGGCTAACAGGCAAAATAAAATTACACAAACAAATAAAATAAAAGGTCCTCAACATCATTAATCATCAGAAAATTGCAAATTAAACCCACAATGAAATATTCCCATTTTTATACTACAGAGTGAAACTAAAATGATTGAAAATACTAATACTAAATCTTGGCAAAAATGTAGGTCAACTGGAACTTACAAGAATTTCTATCTGAAGTGTAAAATGATACAACTTTGTATCAGACATGGCGATGATGTTTGTAGATAGAGAACAGATTAGAATGCACGCAATTCTTTTGAAGCTTGTTATTTGTATAATTTTAGGTGTGCAGGCACAATTTTGTGACAAGCACAGATTGCACAGTGGCATTTATGATATCCATCATCCACATAACATGTATGGTACCCATTAAGTCGTTTCTCTTGGAATTCTCACTGAACCACAACTATGGCAGTTGGTTATGAAAGACTGTCCCCAGTGGCTGGATAACGTGGACAGAATCGCACCACATATCAAAAGCATTAGAACCCGTTCGTTTTACATTAAAAGTTAGTCTAAATTTAGCCTTCTAATCCCTGTTTTAAACAAGCTTAATTTTATACAAAATGCTAATATTATGTTTGTGTAATATACATACACGCGTGCATGTGTGTGTGTATGTGTGTGCATCCCATTTATGTATACAATGTGTGGTGTCCTGTGGGCTTCAGGGTCTTCTGAAACATAATTGCATACATATGTGTACAATTTTTGGAGAAACACGGGGGCATCTTTTTCACATCTTCCCTGGCCTGCCGCATTGGCATGCAATGATTCAAGACTGCAGCTTAGTGCCCTCTCCTCCACATTTTTCTGGAATTTTACATTTTGTTAAATCCTACCCTTGAACACTCAGCAAGTGCCCACCTTACCAATGTTTTGCCCACCCTATCCAGAGATCACAGATGGAGATTGCCATCCAGGTCTTGTTTTGTCTGTGTTTACGTGTCTAACGCCCTCCCTGAGCCTCTGCCGGTGAGGTGCCTGGTTCAGTTGAGATGATGTCCTCTCCCAGCATGAGGTTGCACAGCCTGCCTCTGCCCACCTGACCTCAGACTAATTGTACAATTAGTGCTGTGATATGAAGTCTCTGAGCCAACACAAGTTCCCTCGTGCCGTGATTAACTCCTGGGCTCCGAGGCAGCAGGAACCAGTCACAAAGTGCAAACTAATTAATGTTGGAGGATGTGAGTAAGGACAAGGGAGGTCACGCCGCTGGCAGCTCGCGATGGAGCTGATGGCAACAGAAACCAAACTTCAGCTACAGCAGTCGCAATGGAGCCTTTTTCATACTGAAATTTATTATTTTCTCTTGACTTTGCATAATTGGAAAGTGGGGGAGTATAGAAAAGAAAGATATTTTTGTAAGGATGCAGCTCTGAACACTTATCTGCTGTATGTTTCAAAATACTTAAAAAAATTAATACTTAATTAAATTAATACTTTAAAAACATAAGTATTTTCTCAGTGGCTGGAGGAATCCTGTGACTGGGAAAGTTTATGTTTTTGCTGATCTTTCTTAGACAGTTGCAGGAAGCATGGCTGATATGGGCTGAAGGTTTACAAACTGCTGTTTCGGCCATGTTGCCATCAATTCCCAACATACGACTCATGGGAATATTAAAACACACACACACACACACACACACACACACACACACACACACACACACACAGAGGCAGCAAAAGGGAAATAAAATACCAGTCAAAAATAATGATACTGTTCCTGAAGTTTATGGAACTGAGTGAAGAAAAAGACCCCTCTAGAATCAAAAAGTGGTATCTTAAAATTCTATTTAATCCTAACGTAGGCTAATCTGGAAAAAAAAAAAACTTACTGCTCTTTGATCTTTGTGACTTTTTACCGATAGAAGTTATTGCTAAGTGGAAATCAAAAACAACCCACCATAGTATACCATCTTGATCATGATGTGTTCTAGGAATCTAAAAATCCATGCTGACATTTTGGAGGAAATCTGCAAGCTGATCTATATTAGGGCTAAATGCTGATGATTTGACAGAGCAGCTGGAGGGACTTACAGGGCGCAAAGCCTGTAATGACCTATGCGGTGGTGAGGACCACCGTAAAGAAGGTGAGAAAGGACACCATCCCCAGCTCATGTCATCTGAGACACTGAGCCACACTGGTGGTGACTGGGACGCATTGAAGGCTTGCCTTTCAACCCTGCTGTGAGATATCCAGTGATCAAATACTATGTTTTAGATAACATTTGAATAATTGACATCCAAATTAAATCCAGTTTGAGCACTTAATACTCTCATGAAATGGCCAAAGGCATCACTCGAACAGTTTATAGCACACACACATTAACGTAATCCCTTCTGCAGATCATAAGGCACATTAGTATATTAAAGAATCCTGGAACCCCCAGGGTGAAGAAATCTCTCATACCTTGTTAAATTCAAAGTTTCCTGCTATTTTTTTTTCTCAACCCACAGGACCCCGTTTCAAATGGCAGTTTAAAATGGAAAACATTTTAAGGTATGCTGGTTTATGGTGTGCTTCTTTACAGAAAAAATGTGGCACTTCAAATACTGAGTGCCAAGGAGTGGCAATGAGTGATTTTCTTCAGTTAATACTTGTGATTTGGGTTAAGCTGTGCTGAGTTGGAGTCTGTCAAGAATACACTGAATTCTGTAAGGACATTTTAAAAAAGATTATTCATATGAACCTTCCTCGACTCTAACTTGAAAGGTCAGCTGAATGCTTCCTCTTATGATAGAACTGGCTTCTGCAAAGTGGTAACTGGCTGTCCTCGACTCCTGCCCACTCCAGGGCAGAGCAGATGGGCGGAAGTGTGCTGTCTCGGGCAGCAATTTGTTTGTAATCTTTAGATTTTATTTGTAATCTTTGGGTCACTGTAAGTGCATTAAAAGCCGGCTCAGTGGGTCACAGCCTGATTCAGACATTTGTCTCCTTTACCAATGCTGGGTGGGAAATAAAAGCAGTGCTTTGCTAAATTAAGTTGCAAATGATTCACTGATCCAAAGAGATTATTGTGACACTCAGACTAAATTTTCCTTCTGGGGAATAAAAACTGACATTGAACAACTTTCTGATACAGTGGGGGAAAATCCTGTTGCTCCAAGTCCGAAAGTGATAAGCTGGGAAGTGTTTCCAAATTTCAGTGTTGTGATTTCATTGTACCTATACTTTGATTTATTTTTCTTTTAGCTCTTCCTATTTTTAACAGTCCCATTTGTCTATCTCAACATGCCCTGAAAGCCTATAAAAACACCCTATTTTAGTGAAATCTCTAATTTTAGTCAATATATTAGGGATGCATTTTATCTCTAATTTTAGTTGAGACATTACACATACCTAAAGTATCAACTAAAATTAGAATAGATGCATGTATATCTATAACATACATATATTAGAATATTATGTGTATAGATATGTGTATGTATAATTTCTACACATATCTATGTGTATAGATATACACATATTAGAATATATACACATATTGGAATATGTATACACATAGGTATACATGCATATATTCTAATATGTGTATATCTATATAAATGTAGATATACATGCATACATTCTAACTTTATGTATAGGCATATGTGTGTATATTCTAATATACTGTCTATAATTCTCTTGTATTTATAGTAAAAGATTGCAGCAAACCTGATGTTGTGATTTTCTCGGTTTTTACTTATTATTTACTTTCCATTCCATGTGCTGATCTCATTTCCCGCAGCGGCCTCCGCCCAGCTCCATCAATGCAGCCTGCAAGAAGACACACTCCCGAGGTCGGATCATTAGAGGGGCTTTAATCTTTTAGAACAATGTTTCAATACTGTTTACACCAGGGGCTTTCTTGTACAAACCGTCTTTACACCAGACAAGAATAACATAGGAAGGAACTATTTGTCTCTGATCTCTGCAAAGAAGGAGAGCAAATGGGAACCCTTAGGGGCTTTTTCGTCTTTTAAACCTACCAGGAGGAGATTAATCAAAGATACCTATGCTGTCTGATGTACGATCAGTTACATAGCTGCAGTGCCATTGATCAAGTTTTGGTGAAAGAACGAAATAGCAGCGTCGGGAGCAGCGACATGGTGGGAGCAGAAACAAGCCCTGGGACCCTGCTCTGGGCACAAAGCAACGTCTGAGGAGGTGTGAGGCCTTCACAGCTTCTTCTGGGGAGCCTCCGTCAACGGCCTTTCATCTGTGCAGAGTCTCACTCTTATCAACACTGGTTTGCTTATTATTTAATCCATGTTTTAGTGTACATTTTACATATACCAAGCACTTTTTTATGAATTAAATATGATCTTATTTAATGCTCACAATGACAGGTGAAATAAGCCTGACAGGAGTTAAAGAGTATGGGGAGCAGCTGCCCTGTCCCGGGCCCCTGTCACAGACACGCCAAAATAGAAGAAGGTCTTGCATTACAGGTACTTCCTTCAGCTCTCGTAGTAAGCAGCTTTCGAGATGTCTTTCTGTAGAAATCAATTAAACACGCAGCAAACATTCAGTGGGTAGGGGCTTAGGAAATGATAGAGAACAGTGACCCTACTGAAGACACGCAAAAAAAGGAAGGAGGAAGCTGAAGTACTAAAGAAGATGGGCGCATGCACACACACATGCACATACGCACATGCACCCACACGCACACACACATGCATGTATGCACACGCACCCACACATGCACACATGCACACGCACTCACATGCACACACACATGCACTCACGCACAGACATACATGCACATACACACATGCACCTGTATGCACACAAGCACACACACATGCACACATATGCACATGCACCCATATGCACACAGGTACACACACACATGCACATACACACATGCACACACATGCATACATACACAATGCACACACGCACAAGTGCACACATATATACACACATGCACACACGCACAAGTGCACACATATATACACACATGCACACAAGCACACACATGCACATACATACATACATACTCAATGAACACGCATGCACATGTGCACACACATTCACACAGGCACATGCACACACTTATGCACATGTGCACACACACACATACAGAGGAACTAATTCAAAAACAGAGCAGTTATCCATTCAAATCTGTGCATCTGCAATTTCCTCTGAATGATTCTTTTCCTAAGCAACACCTTGCGGTTAATGAATCAGTTTTAAAATCACAGAAATTTATTTTGGGGGTGAAGACACTTTGAGCAGATAGTACAGACAGTTACATCATGAAAAAGAGTGTTTATTTTGAAGGTGTCAATTTGAACGCAATTATAGCCCATTCACAAGAAGCAGCAAATATGCAGAGCTTAAACCTCCTGACCTCTGGATAGAAAAATTGCACAATGGTGATGAAGACTCTGATTGGATGGGTTTTATCTTTATTATTTTTTAGGAGACTGAAGGCTTATTTTGTATATACCCTTTCCTTAAGATGAAGGGTATTTAATTAGATTTTTAGAATGCTATTTTAAAATTAATTATGGATGACTTTTTAACTGCATCAATTTCATTCTTTAAGGATATTTGAATCTATGTTCATGAATGAGTTTGGCTTACATTTTGTTATCATTTCTCCGTCATCATTTGGCATCAGTTTTTTTTCTGGCATGTTAAACTGGTTAGAGTGTATTTAATAATTCTCTATGATCTAAAAAATTTTGTAAAATATTGCTATTGTTTCCTCATTAAACATCTGGTAAAGTTTGCTAATGTAGTTTCTGTGGCCTGGAGTTTTCATAATAGTTCCACTTATTTACACATTTTATGATGATTTTATTTCTGTATCTCTTTGGCCAGGCTTTGTGAAGTATGTTTTTGAGGATTAAGCTATTTAATACACACTTCAAAATCACTGCTGTTCTATTCTTCCTAATGTGTTACTCTATTAAAAACTTTGAAGTGACAATGATACACACTTATTATTTCTAATTATTTCTACTGTCTTTTTTTCTCAGTTGGTGTCCTCAGGGGTTTATCAACATTACATGTTTTTTTAAAAAAGTGAATTCTAGCTTTTGTTGGCCTGTCTAGAACATATTTATATGTTGTTTGCTGTTCCTTTGATTTCTACTATTATTGCTAATATTTGATCCTTTCTACTTCTAAAAAGTAAATTATGTAAACATCGATCTCATTAAGTCTAAAAAGAACAGTAAATTAATTTTAAAATTTCATATCAAAATTTGTAGTAAATAAATTTTTAGTTCTAATTTTTTCTAGTGTCTTTTATCACAGATTATTCTTTATCATATTGGCAAGTGAGACATACTGTCCTTAATTTCCAAATGTATATGGAAGCTGTAGAAGTATTGTTTGAGATTTGCAGGATGAAGGGCACACCCCTTGAATGGCTTTAAACCTTTGCAGTGTGTTGGGCCTTGTATGGCATTATTGAAACCAGAAAGCTCTAGGAATAATTTTGTAGATTATTTATTTGTTAAAAATGTAAGTAATAAATATCCCAAAGTAAAGATGTTAAAAACATATTTCTGGTGTCTTTCCAGGTATGGTGGCTCAAGCCTTTAATCCCAGCACTTTGGGAGGCTGGAGCAGGAGGATTGCTTAAGCCCAGGAGTGTGAAAGCAGCCTGGCAGTGTGAAAGGCTCAGTCTCTACAAAAACAATGACAAAATAAAAATCAGTGGGTGTGATGGTGCACGCCTTTAGTCCCAGCTACTCGGGAGACTGAGGTGGGAGGAAGGCTTAAGTCTGGGGAGGTTGAGGCTGCAGTGTGCACTCTAGGGTAAGTGACAGAGACCCTGTCTCTAAAACAAACAACAACCCCCCCAAAATCCCAATACCAACAGAAAAAAATACATTTCTGATATCTAAAAGTGTATGAATATTAAAGAAATGGAATAAACAAGTAAAAACATGATTAAGCAATTAAAACTCTAAAAAAATCATGGTAAAGTAAAATACAGCTTATAGTTGTATAGTTAGCGAATTTCCGGTAGGATGTATACACATTTTCTCCACAGCTGAAATCTATTTTTTTTCTGTAGGTAAAGTTATATATTCAAGCAAGGCTGAACCACTTGGGATTCGTTGTGGGCACGTAGGTCATGTCTTCTGAGTAGATCTGGTATCTTATGCTTCTAAAGAGTGAGGGAAACGATGCATAGGATTTGTGGACACACTCTTTTATGTTTTGATTAAGTTTTTTTATGTCAAAGTAAATACCGATCCCTTATTCCCGATAAATCACCTAGAAAAATGTGGCAGGCAGCAGGCCATTCTTGGCCCGTTCGAAGCACTGAGGAGGGCAGGGATGAAGGTGTGATAGTGGGAGGCAATTTGACAGATAGTGATCATGAATCCCACAGTTCAGGACTCCAAGGAGGGAGAGGAAGGAAAAACAGAGGGAAAGTGGACATCAGGGGATGAGATTCTGGTCTCACCACCTCTGTCTATCCTGCATGGGAGAGCAGTTGCAAATACATAGTGAAACAGTTTTCCTCATTTCTACATGCCATTAAAAATAAAATTTATTTTTTAATGTACACTTTCTTTGATACATTCTGTCTAATGTGATACAAAAACCCAACTACTGGAATTAACAGAATAATACAGAGAAGGAAAACATTCTAGAAGCTTAGAAAACTAATTCAAGCTAACACATTTCTGAACACATGATGTCCTCCCAATAGTAAATGCTGAGTCACAGACACAGATGTTACCCCATTGAACAACAGAAATTAATAAACTTTAAATGAGGCGTAATTTTTAAATGGTGTCTTTCTATGCTGTCCTTGCAAAACAGAGAAATTAAATGTTTCGTCAATGTGAAAAAAACTGGTACTAAATTTTGTTGGCTTTAGCTTTCTAAGTACAGAAACACAAGAAATATCAATACATTAAAAGGCCCAGTGTACTTCCTCATTCTAGAAAAACAAGTTAAAGAACCAGAGGAAGAACTATGAAGAATTAGATGACGTCATGTTTCGTTACACCAGAGTTCATGCCTAGAGCTGGTTTCCTATGCTTCTAAAGCATGGGGAATGGCGCACAGAGTTTGCGGAACATCTTGTTTGTGTTTTGATTAAGTTTTCAATGTCAAAGTAAACACTGATCCCTCCATTCCAGACAAATCAGGAAAGCGGAAAAATGAATTCCAAGGATAGCAAAGATTTTCCTATAATGAGAAAAGGCAAAACCAAATCCACATTTGCTAATGCAGTTGTTCTTTATGAGAAGAAATACAAATATTTGGATCAAATAGGATATTTCCTTACGATTCTACCGGAAGTAAATCTAACCCCACGTTTTCCAGATCAGTCTTGACATGATTGGCCTCTCTCTCCATAGATTGAAAAGAAAGTGAAGACCCAACGTAATAAGAAATGTAGATTTATTCATCAACCTGTTCCAAATGTGCCCGATCACTTGTTATTCTGTTTTCTGGCAACATTCTTAGAATGTCAAAGAATTTTAGTATTTGAAATGATCACTAAATAGAACCATCATGCTGAAATTTTCAAATGTTGTAGCATTCGTGATTGTCCCATTAGCACGAATGCCTCAGTGATCATAATTATTCTCATCGTCATTGAATTTCCTAGTTATTGCATACATAATGTGTACTGACAAGCTGACCCTGGCTACTTGCCTGATTATCTATTAATCTTACAAAACTCTGAAGTTTATGAAGTTTAAAACGATATGCGGATAGAAAGTGGAATGCTGGTAACTTGAGACTGCCTCACTTTGGTATCTAGATGCAGACTTTTTATTGCATATATAATTTTACTCTTACTCATGGTGAACCCTTACCCAGGAGTGAACAATGGGAATTGGAGTAATTCTTAGAGGGCAGTGAGAAGGATTGCACATGGTGGACAAGGACGGGTATGGAAATAGCTTTCTGATAATGGAGGTGATCATGGAGAACAATTGTCTCTGGTTTTTGTTGTTTTGAAATTTTGTCTAACAGTTTTGCAAAAGTCAGAAGGGACATGATTATATGGCAAAGGGGAAAATTGACAGATTCAGATTAATTGGAGTAAATCTCAGCTAATTAATGGGAATTCTTGGGCCCTTATTTAGTGAGAATACACTCAATACTTTGTCACAACTCCCAAAATACACGAATGTTTGCCATGCATGCATGAGTATGGACATTTTACCGAAGACTTCATGGGGAAGTAGAAGCAAAGAATGCCTTGCACAAGACAAGGAGATGTTGGGTTATTTTCTCTTTAAATATCTCTGCAACTGTTCCCAAAATCAATCCTCAGTTGCCAGTGGCCTGGCTTCTTTCTCTTTAGTTCACATGACATTTGTATTCCAAGTGTTTTCAAGAGAAAGTTAGCTTTGAATATTCAGGGAAAACCCCAAAGTCCGTAATGTAGCAGATTCTAAAAAGTCCTATGAGAAAGTATTTTAAGAGTATATATCTTGCTCTGTTATGCCTTGGGGCCTTGCAGAGGATATTATAAGATATTCATTCATTCAGGAGGACCAGCGGCCTCTACTGGAGAGTGGGGAGTGAGTTCAGCCTCTAATAAAAGGTTTTCTCCATAGCCTTGGGTCATTTGTCACATTTGCTTCTTTTACTTTGTTTTCTGACTTACCCTGGTTCATAAGCTTGAGCAGCAGGATAAAATCAATTTCTTTTCTGTATAGAAGAAAACAATGACAGTCAGGAACAGAATATAAATCAGATTATCTAATAAAGGGTGGGTCAGGGTAATACCCCAATGCCTCAAATCACTCTTTGAGTATAAGTTGCATGAATTTGTAAGGTCTGAAAACTATAACTACATCTTAAACAGATCATAATAGAGCTGTAAATATTGGACAACAAGCACCACTCACCAGGCCTGAGATTCATGAACAGCATTAGCTATACCAATAGGTTTTCTGCTGATAAATCTGCAAAAGAATAGCATTGGAATAGCTAAAGTCAAGAAGATTTTTAAAGCTGGTGAATTTTTTTGCCTCCTCAATTATGAGGTGCAGCTTTTCATGAACACGTGTATACCTCAAGGTGAGGTCCTTGCATTTTTCATTATATAAATCATATGTTATATGTTACATTACGTATTATTGGAACAATTTCATGCAACCATATAGCTGGAAATTGCATAAACTTTGGTATTGCTGTTTATATGAACTATGAGAATGGTGTCTCCTGAGGAATATTGCACACAATAATTCCCGGAGACCTGCAGTGCATTGTCATATGTATATATGATATATAACATATACTTATCAGTACATTATCATATATATAAAATGTCATATATTTTTATATATGTAATACTATATCCCACCTTCTCTTTCCTCTCTCTCACGTTAGTGAATATTTGATGTTGTTTAGTTTAACAATGACAGTAATAGAAAACTGTGCCCATGGTTCACAGGGGACGTACGTGAATTTTACAAAATGTGACAGTTCTATCATTTCAATCATGAGATCCTATTTTTCAGCTTCCAAAGTAGGATATTCATGGTGCTACCACCATGAATGAGGTGCTGTGAATGTCGAGGAAGATGTGTTACATAAATAATTTTCTACAAATTCTTTTATTGTCATCTAGAAAAAAATGCACAAATGCATTTTCTTACGAAAGGCAAGAGGAAACTCAAATAATATGAACATTGCTAATATTAAAGAGTAATAATAACATAATTAATAACTATCCAGAGACACAGAATAGTGAACTAGATTAGTCTTCGAAATTGAGATAAGTCGGAGCCATTTTCAGTTGGGATACTTAATTATATTTAAGTACAAAACTCTGGAGAATCTATGCTGTTTTATAGGTTAATTAATTTTTGTTCTTTTATTAAAATTGTATTTGAATACGTTTCCTCATGGGAAAGAACCCTATAACTGGGGTAAATGCTTCCCAAACCAATCTCCACTGGACTCAGGTGGACTCTGGGGAAACAGTTTTCTAGGATGA